TTGTTGGACAGGGATTGTGGGGACAGGGATTGTGGGGACAGGGATTGTTGGACAGGGATTGTGGGGACAGGGATTGTGGGGACAGGGATTGTTGGACAGGGATTGTGGGGACAGGGATTGTGGGGACAGGGATTGTTGGACAGGGATTGTGGGGACAGGGATTGTGGGGACAGGGATTGTGGGGACAGGGATTGTTGGACAGGGATTGTTGGACAGGGATTGCGGGGGGACAGGGATTGTGGGGACAGGGATTGTTGGACAGGGATTGTTGGACAGGGATTGTGGGGGGACAGGGATTGTTGTGCTGGAATAGGGATTGTGAGAACAGGAACTGTTGTCCAGGGCCAGCCCAACCAGCCCCGAGCAGCCCCCCACTCACAGATGGTGGAGCAGATGGGCCCCACTTGGAAGGTGGTGCCGTACACGGATTTGATGGCATCGGCAGCGGCTCTTCCCAGGGATTCCTGGAGAGGAGATCAGGGAGGACGAGTCAGGAAGCAGCCAAACTTCACGAGACACTCAGAGAAACCTCCACCCAGCCACAGCACTCCCAGCTCCCACAGGATTTCTGGGAAGGGGCACCACAGGTGGAATAATTCCCAACGGGTTCCATAATGGATCATCCAGTGTTTCATCTCACTGACTGTCAAGGGAAGGTTCAGGAGATACCAGAAAACCCCAAGGAATATTGGGGATATTCCAATACTCCAGGATCAGCTTTGTGCTCATTTCCACTCCATGATGGGGTTTTATGGAAAACAGAGCCGGGATCTTCATGGAAGTGGGAAAAAGGACGAGTGGCAACAAATTGCCACGGGGGAAAAAACCTGCATTTAGGCATTAGGGACAAAGAAAAAATCCAGGAGAGCTTTTGGAAGGGCGAAACTTTGGGAATTTGTGGGATTTGACTTCAGAAACGTGGAAACAAATCAAAACAACGACCCAAAGCTCAGCTTGACCCTGAGCCACCCCATCCCAAACCGGCTCCAGCTCCAAACCCCTTTCAGCCCAGGGCTGGGATGGACACCTCCAGAGGGGCTTTCCCATCGGAATTCCGGCGGTGAGGTCCACGTGGCTGCTGTTAGGGAAGAGCCTGGAGCACGGAGAGCTCCGGGAGGCAGCCAGACAGGGGAGGAGAAGGCAAAGCCAAGAGGAGGAGAAGCCAAAGCTTCTCGTGTCTCACCAGCTCGGCGTAGTCGTCGGGCCTGGTGCACTTGTATCCGTAGGGATACATCAGGAGCTGGGAATAGCTGTGGAGGGTGAGGAAGGCCTTGAAGTTCCCGTGGTTCCTGATGAAGTCAGCCATGGATTTCACCTCCACCTCGGACTCGGCGCTGGGGCCGTGGTAGGAGTCGGAGCAGGGCCAGCTGCTGGCCCCGGGACCTGGAGGGGACAAACCAGTGAGAAGGGACAGTCCTGGGAGGTCGAGGAAGACCCAGCAAAGCCAGGCTTTACTAAGGCAAGGCTTGAAATGCCGGCAAACCCTCGAGCAGCAGCGCCAGGGTGGGAATGTTTAAGGGATGTGCTTTGAGATGACACGACCTGGAACCCCCATCCCCGGAGGTGTTCCGTGCTGGGATGGGGCTTGGAGCACTGGGAGGTGTCCCTGCCTTGAACTAAACAGTGTTTCAGGTCCCTCCTGAGCCAAACCAGCCTGTAATTCCGTGATTCCACGAGTGCCACCTTCACCTCGTGCTCTTGGGTGATTAATCAACGCGAAATGGGAAACGGCTCCATCCCGAGGGACCCTTTGGAGTCCCTTGTGTTATTCCCGGTGCTCTGTGACGGGATCCAGGGCCCAGAATCTCCACATTCCTACCTCCAAAGCCCGCATCCCAGTTCCTGTTGGGATCCACCCCGTAGCAGATGCTGCCCGCGTTCTTGGAGCGGGTCTTCCTCCACATGCGGTTCTGGAAGAGAGGAAACGGCTCCCAAAAATGAGCAAATCCGGGTGTTTGGGTCAAAACTGCTCCCAGGAGGAGCTGCCATTCCCCAGGGGGGGATCCCAGGCGTGATCCCAGCATTATTCCCGATGGGATAACGGTCAGAACCGGACAGGGGTGGGGTGTTTAAGGTGAGTAATTTAAAATTCCTCCTTGTGGTTCCTTCTCACGGCGCTAAGAAAGGGACTTCCAGAGCCCGTTTCCCCATGTTTATTATTTCCTTGGAAGAGCAGGGCAGCTTCCTGGATCAGGCCCCTCACTCACCGAGGTGTGGGTGTACACAAAACCATCAGGGTTGGCCACTGGCAGCAGGAAAAGGTCCATCTTGTCCAGCAGGGAGGTGATGGAGGAGTCGGATCCGTAGCCGGAGGCGATCTGGGCAGAGACAGGACAGCACACCCCAGTCAGCAGAGCATTCCTGCCCCAGGTGCCCTCACAGCTGGGAACAGAGTCTGGATTTTGAGGCAGGGGAACAAGAGTATCAGTTGCCTGGTGGCCAATTAATCTGTTTGATTTGGAGGTTAATGGGGGAAAGCAACAAAATTTCCCACTCCCTTGTCCCGGAGAACCGACCAAGGCCCCACACTGGGATTGAAGCAGAGCAGCCAGGCTGGGAATACTCAACTGGGCTGCACTCCTGGGGTGGTTTAGGCACCTCCAGCAGGGTTTAAACGCTTGAAATGGTTTAAATTTACAGAGAGATGGAGGTTTTGGGCATTGCTGGGGGAGGGAACCAACCACAGAGCGTCTCCCTGCACCGGGAGAGCGAAGCAGCAAAACAATCTCCAAGGCCTTGGTTTTTTTTGTGGGATTATCAGCCCCCTTCTTGTCAACAACTCCCTATGAACTGCTGCACTTTGTCTCCCTGAACTGCTGCATTTTGTCTGCCTAAACTCAGCTCTTCCAACAAGACACCGTGTGCTCCAGGTAGCCACAACATCCTCTGGGAGTCGGTTTTGCGATGGGCGGAGGATCAGCAGAGTTAATGAAACACACGGATGTGACGTCCTTGGAATGCTCTGAGGCACTCCCAGGACGAAGCAGAAGAGCTCAAGGGGACCTGGCTGGCGATCCAGAGGGCGCTGGCCTGGGTGACCCACTCCCGGGAGTGGATGCCGGCGTCGAGCCAGATGGCCGGGCGGTTGGATCCGCCGGTGCTGAACTGTGGGAATGAGAGGGAAAGAGTCAAATCATCCATCAGCCAAGACCATCCCAGGCAGGCTGGGGTGATCTGGGCCAGGCTCTGCCGTGCCTGTCCCACGCCAGGCACACCCTGGGACATTTTGTTGTACCTTGAGGGCGTACAGAGGGCGCTTCTCGTAGGATTCCCCGATCTGGATCTTCTCCACGAAGCTGTGCTCGGATGCAAGGTGGTCCAGCTCCGCATAAATCTGGAATGAGGAGCCACGAGGATGCTCATGACACATTTCATGGAATTGTGGGCTAGTTTCGGTTGGAAGGGACCTTAAAAACCATCTGGTTCCAACCCATCCTGGGTTGCTCCAAGCCCCATCCAACCCGGCCTTGGACACTTCCAGGGATCCAGAGGCAGCCACAGCTTCCCTGGGCAGGGAGTCCATTATCTCCCTATTTCAAGATTCCTTTATTTCTCTGTCTCAGAAGGAAGGGGTTTGGAGTCCATGGAAAAGTCTGATTAGCACTTGCACTGATTGTTCTGACCACTAAATTAATTCAGGTAAAACCCAAAACCAGGCACCAAGAGAAGCTGGAGAGACATCTAGATCCTAAATATTGGAATTCTGATGGGAGACAGCGTGAAGAAAGGCCGGGAAAAAGGAAAGAACCCTCCTGCCCTGAGGGACTCACATCATCCAGGGTGTGGTAGGAGCTGAAGTCGAAGCTGGTGCTTCGCTCCCTCTGGGCGCTCTCGGCCATGTCCTGCTTCTCCTTGTCCAGAACATCCTAAAACGAGACATTCCAAGGGTGAGAAAAGCCTGCTTCGGTCACAAAATGAATTTCAAAAGGCAAATGTTTGTGCTGAGTTAACCAGAGAATTCCTGGAATGGTTTGAGTGAGAAGGGAACTGAAGGATCATCCAGTTCCATCCAGGGACACCTCCCACTAGCCCAGGTTGCTCCAGCCCGGCCTTGGACACTCCCAGGGATCCAGGGGCAGCCACAGCTTCTCTGGGAAACCCATTCCAGCCCCTCCTCACCCTCCCAGCCAGCAATTCCTTCCCAATATCCCATCTAGCCTTCTGGCAGTGGGAAGCCATTCCCTGTGTCCTGTCCCTCCATCCCTTGTCCCCAGTCCCTCTCCAGCTCTCCTGGAGCCCCTTCAGGCCCTGCAAGGGGCTCTCAGCTCTCCCTGGAGCCTTCTCTTCTCCAGGAGAACCCCTCCAGCTCTCCCAGTCTGGCTCCAGAGGGAATCCAGCCCTGGGAGCAGCGCCGTGTCCCCTCTGGACTCGTTGGTTCCGGTGCCATTTTGGGATCATTCCTCACGGGAAGATGTTGGATTGGTGCCCCAGTGGGCGACTTTTATCCTTGACTTCTCCTGACATGTTTTACTGAATCCTGAGTAACTTCAGGTGTGATTCCCAAATATCCGTGGCCAAAACACCACCCAGAATTCCTCCGGGGGTTGTCCCAGAGCGGAAACCCCGGAGTTCAAAAACCACTCAAGGAGGTTTTTCCGGGAGCACCTGCAGCAATCCCGGGATTGCCTTGGAGGAATCAACCCAAAAATAACAGGAGAACCTCACGGAAAACAGGGCGTGGGAGAGCCCACGCTGGGAACGAGGCCAAACCGGGAATTCTGATTTGCTTCCAGAAGGTTCGGAGGCTCCACGTGTGCCTGTCGGAATTCCCTACCTGCAGGTCCTCGATCAGGATGGAATACTCGATCCCCTGGGATTCCAGGAAGGCTTTGACCGACTGGACGCTGGCAGCAGGAATCCTCACGTCCACAGGGAGGGCGGGGGCAGAGGGGTTGATCCAGAAATCCAGCTGGGAAAGGGGAAGGAGGAAGGATTCGGTTGCGAGCGGCTCTTCCGGAGCTTTGGGAATGGCGGTTCCTCCCAAATCCAAGGGCTCCTGAGGTTCCAAGAGCCCTGGAACTCTTTGTGGCCTCACAATGAAATCATGAACAGGGAGAGGATCAAGTCAACGTTTCCCCCAATTCCAGGGCCTTCGGCACAAAAGCAAGAGGGAATTCCGTTTATTTGGATTTTTATGTGATGATATTTTATTATTTTCACTAGAAATAGTTTCAAAAAAGATTCTATTTTACAGCACTGGGTGACACAAACCCTGCTGGTTTTATTTCCCTTTTCCCCTCTCCTTTTCTGAGTTTTCATTCCTACACTATTCAAATAATCTTAAAGGGCACCAGTGTGAAAAATTCCCACCGGCAGGAGCAGCAACCTGGAATTTCACGGCGTGGTTTTGGGTTTCAACCTTCCAAATAATTCCTTCCACAGCACCTCCATTCCCACTGGAAAAACGGGGGTTTTAGTACCAAGGTTAAGAGCAAGAATAATCCAAACTCGATTGTAAATCCAGGAGGGGGAGAAAAAAAAAATAGGGATTCAGGCACTCCTGGACAGTGAGCTGGTTCTAGAGCTGGGAGAGCAAATACAGAGTATTGAGACAGTAAATTATATCTATATATTTTATGTTTATATATTTACAGTGATCTATTTTATATTTTTATATATATTGATATATTTTATATTTATCTATTTTGTATTGATATATTTCATATTCATATATAAATATATTGATACATTTCATATTGATATATTATACGTATATATTATATTTGTATATGTATATATTTTATATTTATGTTGATACATTTTATATTTTTATATTTATATTGATATATTGATGTATTTTATATTTCTATATTATATATTTTTATATTTATATTGATATATTTATATCATTTATAGTTATATATTATATTTATATATGTGCATATTATATTTTTATATTAATATGTTATATATATATTATATTTATGTTCCTATTTTATATAAATATATTTCTATATTATATTTGTATACGTATATATTTATATCTATATTTATATTTATATATTTTATATTTATATTTTTATCTTTTTATCTTCACATTGATATTTTTATATTTATACATTATATATGTATCTTTTTTATTTGTATTGATATATTTGTATCAATATATTTGTATCAATATATTTATGTATTTTATATTTATACATTATATTTATATATATATTTATATATGTATATATTTTATATTGATATTGATAGATTTTATATAGATATTTTAATATTTTTATATATTTATATTGATATTTTTATATTTATATATTATAT